ATTAAATCTGATCATATGACTTTAAGTAATTTAATCATTGTTCTTCATTGCTTTATAACTTCTCTTCCAGTTTTAAGCAAATATAACATATATGTGTATTATATTTTTTATATATATGAAATACATCTGTAAATAATTCAGTAAAAAATTAAGAGAAAATCCAAATTTTTAACATAATTCTAGACCTCTCTCTACAGAACTCCTGATTCAAGCATCTATCTACTATTTGATTTGTCCTTCTGGGTGTCTCAGAGGAATTTCAAAGTAAACATACTCAAAATAAATTCTTAATCTTTCTCCCCAAAACTTACTCATCCCACAGTCATCCCCTTGTTGGTTAATAACAACTTCATCTTTGTGTTTGGGGAATCCAAAGACCTTAGAGCTTTCCTTTAGCCCTCTCTTTCTCTCATAGCCTACATACCACACATCAGCAAAGCCTGTCAGCTCTCCTTCAAATTATGTTTGAAATTTGAATGTTTCTCTTCACTTTTGGTGCTACCATCTTGATCCAGGCCACCATGATCTCTTGCATTGACATTTCAGTAACCTAGTAATTAGTCTCCTTGTTTCCATCCTTGTCTCCCTTCATTTATTCTCAACACAGTAGCTAGAGTGATTCTGTGAAAACATGTGTTAGAGCCTGTCACTCCTCTGCTCAAAAGAAAGCCATAACAATATCCTATAATGCTGTATACAATCTAGCTTTCAATGTCTCTTCTCAGACTTTATTCTCCAAATACACTGGCATTCTTCCAACTTAGAGCTTTCAATCATGCAGTTTCCTCTGCTGTGAATTTTTCTCCCTGAAATGTTCACATGGCTAGCTCTCCCGCTTTTATAAGGAGCTTAATGTCTTCTAATCCATTCCTTTACTACCTAATTTAAAATTTCATTATCCCCAGAACTCTCTCTCCTTCTTCCCTTCCTTATTTTTCTCCATACCTCTGGTCATCATCCAAAATACTATACATTAGCCCCCCATATGCACAGGTTCCCCATCTGTGGATTCAACCAACTGCAGAAAAAAAAATATTTGGAAAAAAATGCATCCGTACTGAACATGTACATACTTTTTTTTCTTAAATTAATCCCTAAACAATACAGGATAACAAGTATTTACATAGCATTTACATTTTATTAGGTATTATAAGTAATCTAGAGATTATTTAAATTATGCAAGATAATATGCATAAGTTATATGCAAATACTACACTATTTTATATATGAAACTTGCACATCCTCTGATTTTGGTATCCATGGAAGCTTCTAGAACTAATCCCCCACAGATAGTGAGGGATGTCTGTGTATAATACTTTTATCGTATATAGCTCTCCAGAATGTAAATTTCACAAGGTCAGGAATTTTTGTCTGTTTTGTTTATTGTATTTCCAGCACTTACAATAGTACCTACATATATTAGGTGCTCATTAGATATTTATTGAATGTTGATTTAATATGATATCTTTAAGAATGAATGATTTTTCTAAATATTTATTTTCTTATTTTTAAGTGTGAATATTAACATATAGTTTTCATGAATTATGAAATTTTCATATAAGTCATTTTTATCATTCTCTTTATCTTAGTCTTCTTAGCAAAGGCCTTTGAACCTTCCCATAAAATAAACTATGAACAATCCAAAAAAAAAAGACCCTTGAAGACAGGAAAGGGATGGCTGAGAAAAGTTTCAATACCACTTAGTTCACTGCCCTTTCATATTTTTAACTGTAATATGCTTATTTTATGTGCCCAATAAACTGTTTCTTGAAAACTTTATTGTATCTTGAATCCCTAACACCAGGCTCAGAGCCCGACACATGGTAAGCATGTAGCAGACCAAGAGTTAGTATGAAATCTAATAAGTGACTCCAAGTAGGACCATGTGATTGTAGGTGATACACAGATACCTCAGTCTGTGTATTAATATCAGTACACTGGATGATGGTCTAGAAAAAGTTTTGTTAATTTTAAATGTACAGAAGATAAAATAAAAATCAACTCATCTAATTCATTCAGTAATAGTGTTTGTTATATTGTTTAGTTAAAACTGTATAATAACCAACAATTACTATATATAATATGTGCTTATGTTTATCTAGACATTTAAATATAAAAAATATCTTTCTTGGAAACTGAATGTTAAAAACTCAGACATGCCTAGGGAAGTACTTAGGATGATATCAGCATACAGTTTTCTTTTGTACCAGTGAAATTTTTGCTTCTATATGAAGCTAAAGTACATTTATATAAACTGTTTATGATTATATTTGGGAGAAAAATTAGTTATAAAAAATCACAATTGTTTTGTCTCCTACCTTTTTGAAATGGTGGTCCCTGAAGCATCACTTTAAGGTTCTGCTCATTAAGGGTGGGGGTTATTAATCTAAGTACTGTACCAATTTGACAAATCTCTACTAGGTGCACCACAATAGAATTTTTAAAAAATTTTTTTAGAGACAGGGTCTCTCTCTGTCACCCAGGCTAGAGTGCAGTGGTACGCTCATAGCTCACTGCAGCCTCAAACTACTGAGTTCAAGCAATTCTCCTGCCTTAGCATCCCAAGTAGCTGGAACTAAGGTGCACACTACCACATCTGGCTTTTTTAAAAAAAATTCTTATAGAGACAGGGTCTCACTATGTTGTGTAGGATGGTCCTGGCCTCAAGCAAACCTCCTGCCTTGGTCTCTGAAAATGCTGAGATTTCAGATGTTAGCCACTGCTCCCAGCCATAATATGTTAACGTTCCATTTCTTTCTTCTGTTTACAAAATGTCTGGTAATTCCAATTATTTTTAATTTTTTCCCTTTAATTTTTAGTTCCCAGTGTTCCCACAAATATTACTTTTTCTGATGTTCAGTCAACTAGTGCAACATTGACATGGATAAGACCTGACACTATCCTTGGCTACTTTCAAAATTACAAGATTACCACTCAACTTCGTGCTCAAAAATGCAGAGAATGGGAATCTGAAGAATGTGTTGAATATCAAAACATTCAATATCTCTATGAAGCTGACCTAACTGAAGAGACAGTGTATGGGTTGAAAAAATTTAGATGGTATAGATTCCAGGTGGCTGCCAGCACCAATGCTGGCTATGGCAATGCTTCCAGTTGGATTTCTACACAAACCCTGCCTGGCCGTAAGTATTGTCTCAATATGTACATATTCATTTCTGTTATATTCTATATCTCTATATTAACGATTTCTACTTAATCCAATTGTGTATAAAATCACTGAATGTAGAAATAACTGAGTACAGTAACTGGCTTACCTAATAACGTATTTATTTTTAATTTAATTGAAAGCTAATGGAAAATTCAATTTTAGTCACCATTAGGGCTTTTCTGAAACTCCCAGAGCTGTGCCAACGTCCTAGAGTCTGATGTTGCAACAAAACATGAGGGAAGCCTCTCTTGTGATCTACCATTAGGTCATAATGATTGTCATCTAGTGCCCTTACCCAGGCCCACATTTTCTCTTCATATGTGGAGGCTCTGCTGCCTTTACGCAGACTTTACAACCTTTTCAGTGACTGCAGGCTTACACACACAGGTGCGAGCACAATAACCCTGACCGATCTGTCTGCAAGCAGTTTTTCAGCTTGTGCTTTTCATCTATACAAAACTCTGAGGCAAAGAAATACCAAGTGCTCAACTCCCAGTTTGAGATAAGGAAAAGAAAAAAAATACAGAGAAGAAACACAAATAATCTCTCAAAATTACTCTGCCATGTACTCATCTTTCAGGACTTTTGCATTCAGGAAAAAAGCTCTTTGAATGCTGGTCCAGAGAAATCACTCAAAGTGTAGGTAAAGATTGCTTTTGCAACTTGAGTTTTATGTTTATAACTAACAGGTCACCCTACTTTCTTAAACAATATCATTATCCATAACTAAGTAAATAAAATTTCTATTACTTATCCTGAACCCTGCCTACATAGAATTGTGATGGTTTCCATGCAACATACATAAATTGCAAATCAAATCCTACAAGCAATAGCCCTGAGGAATGGATATATTCTCTAAAATGCAATTTCTACCCAAGCCCTAGTCCTCCAGAGCAAATTTCAGGTCTGCCAGGTCACCCATCCCAACACCACACCATAGAAGCCCTTCAAATATGGACCTTATGTTACCACTTTCCTATCTTGACTGAAACTCTTACTAGGTGATTCCTTTCAAATCCAAATCACATTTTTCTTAAAAATTTGTGGTACCTATTAGTAGAGTATTAAATAATATACACACATACACACACACTCACAAATAGATTTCCAGTGACAAATGGATACTGTTAGGCCCTTA